GAGAAGGTCTGTGTGGTGAGACTTAATTTGGTCAGTGGGAAATACCTTCCAGCAATTGGGTCGATAATGCAACAAATTTGTTTTTTTTTTTTTTTGGCTAGGTTTACATCACCTCGCGGCTCGGGCCCACCAGCCATCTGTGACTTGTAACAAAAAATCACACACACACACATACTGTACATTTTATTGAGCGTTACGGTCCAAGGCGGACATGAGGACAGGTGGCGCCGCCGCCACTCGCATAGCGGCGGGAATGTGAACTAACCTGTTTACCATAGGGCCGCTTTGCTAACGGCCGCTGCGGGCGCCGTTTCGGGCTAGTTTTGACTTTGTACCGCAATTAATGGTTTATTTATAATAAAAATGGACTAGCGAGAGTCGTGCCGGAATCAGAATTCAATGTTCTACAAAACTAAGCCATTTTCATTGTGATCACGTCATCGACTTCACCGCCCAACCCAAAAAAGCAGAAATATGTCGTGTCACCGGTGATTACACGCAAAAATTCTTTGGCATATAGCATAAAAACCAGAACACCTTTGACTGCAGCGACTATGCGGTACTACAGAAAATTGTATGGACTACCTAATGGTGCCCATTACTTAATAATTAAGCTGAGTATTTCGTCGCCTAACTCTTGTAAAACCGTATGTCCGCTTGTCTATGGAGTTTGGACCGTAACGGCCCTGTCTGACTGAAGGCATAAATAGTGTCCAGGATTTCCAACGTCTCGACTCTCGAGCCTCAGCAATGCATTTACTCATAGTGTTGAGACTTGGAAGGATCATTTCGCAATGATGATGCCTTATATGATAACACCAAAGGTGTCATATGAAAATAAAAATGTTGCCGAGGCTCTGCTGCTCGTTCATTGAGAAATTTGAGCTATTTGTACCTATTTGTCTGAATATTGTTTAGCTCGTCTCAACCAACACCCTAACTTCAGCATTAATCAACGGATCGCCACCTCCCGGGACCCCGGGAAATCCACCAGTGTTTGCGCAGCCGGGTGGAAGCCTGCTGCATGTATTCATTCCATAAAAACACCGAACACAGCGCAGTGCTAGTGCGTTAGGGGACAGCTAATTGACACGCGTGAGTGGCATGGTCGAGAGATGCCGCAGGCAATTAACCACTACCCAGAAACGACGGGGCGATGGCCTGTAAAAAAGTGTCCTTCAATATATCATGGTCGAATAAGTCCTTAGCTAAAATAAAATTCAAAACTTGTCGGCTCAAAGCATTTTCAGTCGCCATTCGCTCGTCGGCCGTCTTTGGCTGCTTCAATCTTGTGAGCCATGCGGCACAGTATTCTCCAGGCGCTGTCTTTTACTGCCATCTAGTGGCCAGCTTATCAACTAGGGAGTCGTGCGGCACAGCAGGCTACAGGCGCTGACTTTTACTGCCATGATCTAGTGGTGGGCTGACAAACTAGTAAGCTATGCGGCATAGTATTCTCCAGGCACTGACTTTGTCTGCCATCTAGTGGCCAGCTTATCAACTAGTAAACTTTGCGGCACAGCATGCTACAGGCGCTGACTTTTACTGCCATCTAGTGGCGGACTGGTGAACTGGTAAGCCATGCGGCACAGCATGCTTCAGGCGCCGGCGCCGCGGCCGTACTCGGCACTATTCTTTAGTCAGGCCAGTGAGTCAGGCGCAGATTATCCAATGCAAACTGCCCAAGTTCTTCGATGGAAACTCACTGAAACTAGTTACCTTACCTTACCTTACCTTAGTTGGTCATCGGGTTATAAGGCCACTCGGCCTATGGGTCCCGCTCGTATCGAGTGAAAGGCATAATCGGAGAGGCTATGGTCCTTAGTACAGGGTAGGGATGTCGAACATCACGCTCGACCAGTGCCGGTCCAGCCGCGCCTTGAAAGACGACAGCGACTCAGCAGCGACGACGTCTGTTGGCAGGGCGTTCCAATCGTTGATGATTCTGACGCTGAACGCGTTCCTGCGAGAAAGATGCTTGGCGTTTGGTTTCCTCAGCTTCCACTGGTGGCCTCGCGTGTTTTGCGCTTCGTGTCTCGTCAGCAGTGACTCAAGCGGCACATCCAGAAGTCCGTGGAAGAGCTGGTACACGGTCACCATATCTCCACGGCGACGGCGGTAGTGCAGCGATGGGAGGCCGAGGCGGCGAAGCCTGTCAGGGTACGGCAGGTCTCTGAGGTCCGTGATCAGGCGGGTCGCGCGTCGCTGCACTCTCTCCAGTCTCTTCTGGTCTTCTTTGGAGAATGGACCCCAGATGGCGTTCCCAAACTCGAGGAAGGGTCGGACTAAGGCCTTGAAAAGAAGAGGCAAAGTGAACTCATCCAGGTTCGCAAACGACCGACGGATCACTGCGAGTATCTGTGAAGCCTTGGCGACGGCAGCGGCTGTCTGCTTGTGGAATCTTAGCTGCCTGTCGATGATAATACCTAGGTCTCGTTCCTCCTCGCAGGCGGCGACAGCAGTTCCATTCAAGTGGCACGTGCGGTCTGGGTTGTGGAAGCCTAGGTGCATGGTCTTGCACTTCGCACCATTGAAGGGGAGCAGCCATGTCTCCGACCAGCGGACCAGAGCGTCGATGTCGTCCTGCAGGCCATCGTGGTTGGCAGTCATCTTGCAGTACAGCTTGGTATCGTCTGCGAACATCTTCACTGTGTTGGTGACCTGTGCTGGCATGTCATTCACATACACTGTGAAAAGTGCAGGACCGAGAACGGTGCCTTGCGGAATGCCGCTTGTTACTGGAGCCCAGGCTGACTTGCATCCCCGAACAACCACCCTTTGAAGGCGCTCAAACAGGAAGGATTGGATCCAGTTCAGGAGTCGACCCGACACACCATAAGACCTCAACTTGCCTAGGAGTCGCTTGTGTGGTACCGAATCGAATGCCTTGGCGAAGTCTAAGTACGCCACATCAACAGGTACTCCCTCTTCCATGGCAGCAGTCCAGTCCTCAATCACCCCCAGGAGCTGTGAGGTGCAAGACCTTTTGGGGAGAAACCCATGCTGAGCCTGATGTAGCTGGCCAGTTGAGGTTAGGTGTGCAAGTAGGCTGTCCCTTACCAGTGACTCAAGCACTTTGCACGGCACTGCAGTGAGACTCACGGGTCTGTAGCTTGATGGCTCCTGACGATCTCCTTTTTTGAAGATGGGCGTTATCTCCCCTGTCTTCCACTCTGCGGGTAGACATCCAGAGTCCAGAGATTTCCTGAAGAGGAGACTGAGGGGGTGAGATAAGACGCGCGCAGAGTTACGAAGTACACTGGGTCGGATACTGTCAGGCCCTGGGGAGCTTCGTGGGTTTAGTGCAGCCAGTTTTGCTTCAACCTTCTGGGGAGACACATCGACATCTTCCAGTGACGGACCGTTGAAGCTGCCGTCTAGAGTCGGTGTAGTGCCAGGTCCTTCAACCGTGAAGACACTGCCAAAGAAACTGTTCAAGATGTTTGCAATCTTCTGGCTATCTGAGACAACAGAGCCGTCTTTGTCCTTCATGGTTGCAAGATGGCTTCTGGTCCGGAGTCTGGTGTTGGTGTACCTCCAGAATCCTTTTGGGTTGTGCTTTAGGTCTGCAGCAAGTTTCCTCTCATAATCCTTGCGAAGACTCCTGGTCAGCCTCCTCAGCTCATTGCTGCAGCGCTTAAAGCGGGCGTGGTCAAGCAGGCTCTGGGTACGACAGTAGGTGCTCCAAAGCAACTTCTTCTTTTTCCTCAGCTGGAAAGCCTGGCGATTCATGTAGAAGTTCACATTTGCATGTTTCTTCCTCTTGGATGAGCATGATTGGATGGCATTCACAAGCTGTGTTTTGAAGAATGCATAGGCGCCGTCCAGATCCATGGCAGCCATCGGAGACCAATCAACATCTTGAAGAACGCTAGATAGCCGGTTGAAGTTAATGCGGTCAGAGCAAATCCTGGTGTAAGCACCTGCTAATGGGGAGCAGGTGACCGTAAACTGCAGCATCACATGGTCGCTACTTCCAAGTCCCGGAAGATATTCCAGCCCCTTCACCATGCCTTCTTCTTTGGAGAAGATCAGGTCCAGGATGCTGGGAGCTTCACCATGTCGATAACGAGTTGGGTGGAGGACATGCTGAAAGAGGAAGCAGTCCTGGATGGTGTCAATAAATGAATGGCAACTGTGACCTACAGGAGCCGGAGAGCTTTGTGTCGACCAGTCAATCTGGGGGAGATTGAAGTCACCCACGAACACTATGTGTGAGAAGGTCTCGGAACATGCTTGACGGATGAGTTGGTTCATCTGGTTGATACTGTCTTCAGCGGAGCCGGATGGGCTGCGGTACAAACATCCGATGAGTAGGCAGTCACCTCCCCTTAGTGACAGTGACACCCATACATTTTCAGTGGTTGAAGCATCAAAAAAGACTTCGCTCACTTTAAGGTGCTCTGCGGCATATACACAGATGCCTCGGATGCCACTGCTCCCTAGGTTCGAGGTCAGGGGAGTAAAGTTATGATGCACTGAGTACCCTGGGATCTGAAGTAGAGCTGGGTCAATGGGTAATCTCTGGGCCTTGGGTATGACTTCAGTCAGAAGAATCAAGTCCGGTTCCTTGTTGCAAATCAACATACACAAGTCATCTCTTTTGTTGATGAACTGATCACAGTTGGTGTACAGAACAGTCAGGTCTTCCTTTGCTGACTTAACATCTTTGGGGTGCACTCTTAGTCATTCAGCTGCTCTGTACGCAGACTGGTTTGACTGAGAACGGCTCCCACGAGTGTCTTCAACTGGCTGGTGCAGGTTACCCTCCTCCTCCCGGGTCCCCGTGTTCCCGAGGCTCCTCCTTCCATGCCATAGTTGTGTCAATCATTTTCATCACTGAAACTGTAAGGAAGAGAAAATAAAACGGTTTCAGTCCTGTGCTTTATAGTAAAGGAAGTTCTCTAGCTCAGAAATATTTTTTTGGATATGGCAGCTTTCTACACCACAAATGTAGCAATCGAGTCACTTTTGTAGACAATTTGGCTTGCGCCTAGCAAAAGAGGAGTGGCCGACGAATTATGATGTGTTCCATATTTCCGACAAAGAAAGATATGTGATGGCAGTGGGTAATTTTCAAGAAAGTAACAAAAATCCCAAGTCATACCTTTGGAATTTGGTCATGAGAACTGAAGCTGAGTGTGAAGGTGTAACAGTGCCTCATTGTGCCTAAACTGAACAGCGTTTGTGATACGTGCCTCGCCTTGCTCTCCTTATTCATATTTGAGACACTATTCAGTGAGTTCAGTGAGGAATACTGCATGGTATTTACTGAAAGCAATCAGAAGATGAAGAAGCAATTCTTTCGAGTGAAGCAGCTGGCGGATCAGGCCATTGCCAGGTAAGGTGTTCTCGCCTCTCGGCATGTCAAAATCCTTATTCCTGAGAAAACTGGTGTAGGTTTATCATCCACTCAAACAAATTCACCTGCAGTGCTTGGAAATCAATCACCTTTTGATTGTAGACCTACCTGCTCATATTTCTTGCAGCTGAATTGCTTTCAATTTGTCTGTGGGTCATGTACGACATTTTAATGGTGACTATTTAGGAGAGGTGGGAAAGGCGCCCTCGGGGCCTGTAGCAGAGCATGCGTCTCTGAATAACCCAAAAATAAATTATTGAAATTTAAAAAGTTATTTCCTACAGAGCCTTAAAATTCACAAGCTACAAGAATTTGAAATAGTATTATTAATACAAAAAAAGTGCCACAATGTGTGTTGCAATTTCAAGATTTATGCCCTTGGGCCACCTACCCTGAACATCCACCATTTTTATGTGTAGGTTTGTTGTAGCATTTGCTGGTCTGTACCCATAGCTGAAGAATTGTTGGGAACTTTGGGTGGTAACAGGTAAAGCACTGCAGATCTCACACCCTGATTGGGCAGCCTGCTCTTGGCCTTTGCCATCTATTGCTGCCCTGAAGCCCAGTGGTCAGGTTGCGGTGATATATTTGTGGTGTACTAATTCCTACATTTCCTCTCAATGCCCTGCCTCTATCCATGTCTGTAACTGTGTATGCTTGAATGATGCCGGGGGCGGATGAGAGGGGCTGGGCAGCCAAACCAGGTGCAGCAGAAGATAGTGCTTGGTGGTAGGTCCATCATCTGTTCCATTCATTCAGTCAGTTTCTTTTTCTAGTAGATTTCTGACAATTCTCATTGCTGTCATGCTGAGAAGTAAGATTGAAGTGTTCGTCTCAATTGGTGTAGTACATAGAAAATGCAAGCCTCATGAAGGCTTGTTAGACAGTAGGTATTATTACTTTATTATTAGGGTTTCTGTGAAGAGTGGCTGACAATGATAAGGACGGCGGCGGTCGCTGCGAGTGCGGCGCGGGCGTGCGTGCAGTGGTGGGGTGATCCGACTCGGGCGATAGCACGTAAGAGCGGAAAGGTGCTGCGATTTAAGCAATATTGCTTTGGCACCAATTGGCAAGCATTGTTTTGTACGTGTTCTGATTAATGTAATAAATTTATCCAGAATTGGAGGATCAAAAGCATGCGATAGCATGCTTTTGCATCCGGAAATTCCCATTGGTGGGTCGCTGAAAAAAAGTTCGGCTGAACCTGTTTGTCAGTGAGTGTGTGTGTGAGTTTGTCCAAGCTTTTTTGGACCTGGAATTAAAATGGGTGGACCGATCGGGACGAAAGTGGGACCGTTTGATTCGTCTCCGGCGAGGTAAACTTTTGGTGCTGGCCTCGGTTCGCTCGGTGCTTCGTGGCACATGCTATTCCGCTTCAAAGTTTCGGTGACACGAAATTTTTTGTCAAGGCTACAGGTCAACCCGAGGTCACGGGCAAAGCCATACTGGCGGGACACATCGGTAACACCTTGAACCAGTTTCCAGGGGGGTCACCGTCTGCGAGGGGTGCAGGCTGCACGTGCTGGGGTCGGAAAACCGTTTTGACGTGAAATCCTCTGGCTCAAAGAAATTTTAAGCTATCAACCTCAAAATCGGTTCAATGGTAGTCCCAGGCAAGGCCTCCAAAATAATGCACATTTGGTTGAGCTAAACTCTGTGGTGCATGAGCTATGCACGTGCAAGCCGATTGCACCCCTTCGTACGTTGCCACGCCTGCAGGGTAAACGGCAGCTCTAACTGGTTCAAAACTTGCAGGTCATAAGAAGAATACATTTGATCACGACATTCCGGCGAGATAATATCCGAGGGGTGCAAGCTGCGCGTGCGGGGGGCGGATAACGGTTTTGACGAGGGATCCTCTGATCCCGGGAAACGTCGATCTAGCGACACAAAAGTCGGTACACTGATAAAACTAGACACACGCTACATGATGTTATGAAAATGACTGCACTGGGGTGCCTGGGACATGAACTATGCACGTGCAGTTAATTCATATCTTACTGTAGGTAGATCTCCACATGAATCTCACGTGCTTCCAAGCATTTTTGGGATGCTTCGGTTGGTTTCAGGTTCAGTCCAAGCTCAGTCGTTGGCTCAGTCTGGGTTTCGGTGGTTTTGCCCGGTGTGTGCCCTCAGTTTCGTTCCTCCAATTCTGGCCCAAGGCAACGCAAGAGCGCTGCCGGCATCTAGTTCTATCTATCTATCTACAACAATACCTACATTACAAGGTGATTCATTTGCAAGTTTGTTGCTCATGCCTGCTAGTGCTCCAGCCCAAATAATGTGCTTTATTGAATGTTTATCATGCCAGTGCGGCCAAATTGGTTTAGCGTTAGGGGGAGGATGTATAAAAAAGTCGTATGAGGATGTCACTATTTTCAAAAAACTCGTCTTCAGTGTCATTTTAGGTGCAGTTTTTACAAGTTATGTGGAAAAAAACTATACCTGACGTCAAGCTCTGGTGGAAGGTAAAAAAAATCCATCAAAGATGTTAAAAAAAAAACACACATTGCAAGCGCGACAGTACGAGTATGACGGTGCGAATCGTACATTGGAACATTTATAGTCTTTATTCCTACACTAGGTATGCTTTCACAACAAAAACGTTGTGATGATGTAATTTTAAAATTTCTGAGGATGTCATTATACTTTTCATTGGGGGTGACTTTCCCCGCAACATCACCAATTTGGCCACACTGTATCATGCCCTATTGTTTAGATAAGGCCAATGGCATGGCCTCATGTTTTATCTAGAGCTTCTAACATTATCACACCCAGGGTGCTAAAGAGTCATCACACCCAACATTGAGAAGGTGTGCAATGATTACACATTGTGCTCTTGCAATATTAACAAGCTTGCTATATTGCTATTTATAGAGCATATTCTATAGTTCAGATTCTTATGAAGAGTATGATCAACTTGAAATCTTTTCTTTCATTCTGTTTACTTTTTCTACTCCAGATATTCTATTCCGGCATCTGACCAACCCACAGTGTCTGACCCTTCGGCTCGATCGCTAGAGTCTTTTCTATCGCCATGCTGCCTAACCCTTCCCCGTCATGTGGTGCCCGTCGGCCGGAAGTTTTGTAGATAGTTTCGTGGCCTACACGGGGATTTCCGTCTCTATCAGCTTTGACTGGAGAGCGCTCTTCTCTGTGGTCATGCGCGTTTTTCATGAGACGGTGTTTGGTTTGCTATCTAAGCGTACGCTCCGCGCTCTCGATAATGATTCTCCACGTACAAAAATGTCATGTACTTATAAGATACATGACTCTCATGTCCTGCGGCTGCTTAGCATAGATACTTACTCCTACTCTTCAGCTCATCACTGTTGACTTTATCGTAATTCTCCGATATTACATCGAAACAAGATGATATATGATTTCGAGGTACACTGTTTTGATACGAATAGTCTTACGAATAGTCTTACGAATAGTCTTGCGAATAGCAAAGTATCGTACTCAAAGGATATCTGTTAGCGGTTTCTGAAGGAAGGTAGTCATCCACAGCACGCCACGTACCCACTCCCCATCCATCTTCATCTTTTGGACTTTTGGACCTTGCTCGGGCGGGACATTTTACGAGATTTCGACAAACATCACGTGATTTTCGCAAGATTTTCGCCTCTCTGCCTTCGAGCAAAACATATCTAAACTCCACCATTCCACGTGAATGAAAACGAAACGGTAACTCCATTCCTGGCGAACGCATACTGTTGAAGCGGAAAATCGACATCACTGGAAAGGGAGAGGAAGCCATATTGCACGGCCCCCGGTCAACAGACATGGTAGCCCAAATCTAGTCGGATATGAAAATTCTTCTAAATCCATAGGCTTTAATGCTAAATTGACTATATTTGAGAGGGTTTTATGAAGATACATGACCAGATACAGAAAAAAGCGAGATGCTATCTTGTAGATTAAATCGTCTGCTATCTGCGACTTTTGAAGTGTTTTTCAATCTGAGGTAGGTACAGAAATCGTGTTCCCAAGAGACTGAAAGTAGCCATGCTTTACATTAGACCCAATGGCAAAAATTTGGAATCTGACGAAATTGGCCATTTTTACGTCTGATTTATGAAAATTCTAGACAGGATATATAGAAACCCGAGGTGCTATCAGGTGGGAAATTTCATTGTCTATTACCGCTTTTTGAAGTGTTTTTCGATCTGAGACCGGCAAATCGTGTTCCCAAGAGACTGAAAGTAACCCTGTTCTACAGCAAGACAATGGCAGAATTCTAATATTTGATGGAAGATATCTTAGGTGATAATAACCTTACTACTAATTGCAATGCTTCATTGGAAAGCTCAAGACTGGCACTGTCATCGGTCTTTGCATTGCTATTTCACAGAACAACAAGAAATAACGTTTTGAAGCCTTTGAATATTGACTTACTTTTCGTCGACGGGCTCGATCCCCATCACCACCAACAATTTTCCGGGAAGTCAGGATTTTGCAGATATTTTAAGCAGAATTGCAGAGCTGTGTTAATACTACGGCACTTGAATACACATTTTAAGAAAACTGCTTTTTTCTTAGCATGAGTTACATCTCAGAAACAGCAACATGTCGATATAATGAGGAAAAATAAGTGCAAATGATCACGCAAGAGAGTATCCTTAGCTCCCTAGCAACCACCTAGCAACGTAAGGCAAAATAGTAAACAACTCCTTTTGATATCAGGTACTCAGCCTTGGAAGCACACTAGACGGTCACCATACTGGGCTTCATACTGAATTTTGCATACCAGAATGGATGTTTCCAACTAAAATTATTTTTTCGCGAAATTTATCTTTGTTGCCCTACTATTTTTCATAAAACCGAGATATACAAACTTCATAATATCAAAAATGATATTGCGATAATGAAAACCGCCATATAAAACAAGATAATTGCTGAGATCATGCCTACTAAACTTGGTCCTACCCCCTAATTCAATATACCCTGATATTGCAAGCAACTTTCAATTCAGCTTT